AGGAAATGGAATTTCACCTGTTATGTTGTTTGACGGCAACACGCTCCACACAGACAAGAAGGAATTATATCACGATGGAAAGAACATTTTGAATTCCACCTCAAAGTCATTGTTTCAATTCATGAGCGGACAGAATTTTCCCAGTTGTCTCTTGAGCCATGCCTAAAGAAAATTCAGTATTCTATCAAGCAATTGTCCTCGAACACAGCCCCTGGAAAAGATGCTATTCCGCCGAAATTTTTAAATATGGTGGGAAGACTCTGGTTAAGAAGCTCTTTGAGCTTTTTAAAGTCATATGAAAGGTTGTTTCTGTTGCACAGGACAACAAAGGTGCTTGCATGAAACATCTGTTCAAGAACAAAGGCAAAAAGGTTGTATGTGATAATTCCCATGACATTTCACTTCTAAGTATCGCTGGCAAAATTCTCGCTCGTGTTATTCTCAACTGAATAATCAAATATCTCATTGATGACATCTATTCCGAATCTCAGTGTTGCTTTCGTTCAGGTCATGGAACCATTGATATGATCTTTTCACTTCGTCAGGTTACTGAGAAAGTTCGCAAGAAAAACCATGGACTCTATACCATCTTTATTGATCTGACCAAAGCGTTTGACATTGTAAACAGAGGTGCCTTTTGGAAAGTACTCAAAAAGCTTGGCATACCTGAAAGTATGCTAAATGTCATCATCTTGTTGCACAAAGGAATGAAAGCATCTGTTCTATCTAATGGAGAGTTTTCAGAAACCTTTGATGTAACAATCAACTTGATGCTTTTCATAAACGCTCTCTTCGTTCAATATACGGTTATACACGGAAGGACAAAATCCCTAACCCTGATCTTTTCATCAAATGTAGTGTTGGTGGTATTGAATCCTTTCTGATGCAATCACAGTTCAGATGGGCTGGTCATGACATCAGAATGAGTGATGATTGGATGCCGAACATCCTCATGTGTAGCCAACTTTCTCATGGTAAGCGTAATGTAGGCCGTCCTTGGTTACGCTTCAAGGATAAACTTAAATACAATTTAAATGCTGCAAACATCCCTATAGGGGAGTTCGAACTTGCTGTTGAAAACCGAACAAACCTGCTACCGAGGTATAACTAACTTTGAAAAGAATCGTCTCAACCATCTGAGAGAATTAAGAATTAATGCTAAATCTCGCTAAAATATTCGCTTGAAGATGAAATGGAACTAATGCTTTTAATTTAATTATAAAATTAAATTTGAAGTTTTTAGCTTCCATTTTTGAAACATGGTTATTACCGTGTAGTGAAAAAACATGTTTTATATTACTATATATATATATATATATATATATATATATATATATATATATATTAACTATGCAAATTTCTGTTTGGTAATATACACACAGGCACTTTTGTCATGTTAAGTTACCTTTGATACTTGATTGTGCATATGTACATGCACACACACACACACATATATATATACACACAGAGGGTGATTTAAAAGAAATATCCCATTTTAAAATATTCATAATTGATGTATTAACTATAATTTTGACAAAAAATGGATATGAGAGGAAAGCGTTTAGCATGAGGTTTTATTTTAAACTTGATATGGGCACCAAATTTAGCTACCAGGTTCTTGAACCACGCAGAAATCACATCAATTGATTTCACCAGGAACTCTTGTGATATGGAAGACTTCTTGCATTCACCCTTCAAGGTCTTCCAAATTCTTGGTTTGGTATAATAGACTTGCTTCTTTAACCAGCCCCAAAGGAAAAAGTCACACATTGTTATCACCATATATATATATATATATATATATATATATATATATATATATATGGGCATGTGGCCAAGTGGCGAGAATATTCACTTCTTGACCACGAGATCCCAGTTTGAATCTCACCCTGATCGGTTTGTCAGGAAGTTGACTTCTTGCTGTTATCAGTTTGGGGAAGGTGATCCTAGCATACAACACCTTTGGAAAGTGCCTGAAAACCACATAATGGGTTGACCCAAGCCTTGTGAGTGAAATTGAGTAGACTGAACTACTATTGATGGTTTTGCAAGCACAAAGTCACAAGTTATCATAACCGAGTGTATCAGCATGCTGACCTTGTTCAGACTGTTTACTATGCCAGATAATGCACTCTCTCTTAGAAACTGTAACTAAAGTCCATTCAGTACAAAACACAGGTGACTGCAACAGGGATTGGCTAGCCACCCTAGTAGACAGGCATTCTTGAATATGAGCGGCCAGCCATAACATGATACCCCCCCACATAAAAAAGAAAGAAAAGTGTCTTATATGTGAATAAATTTATATATGTAAGTAAACTGCTGATCTATTTTTATCATTGCTTTCCAGGAAAACAAAATGAGTTCAATTTAATGCGCAGAAAAACTAACATATAAATAAAAACAAGTTCAATGAAGATTAAAACAGGTCCCACCAAAATGGATGTATCTTTTTAAAATTTACCAAAAATCAGTATTGCTCAATTTAATCAAAATTTTCAACATTGATTAATGAATTAATTGTACACTGAATCAGAGTTTATTTCATTAAAAAACTTTGTGGAAATCTTTTTTTGGTGTGAGGTTCCACTACACTTTTAAATAAGTACCTTTTAATTTGCTAAACATAGAAAAATCCCTGAAAATGTTATTTCAGTAAAAAGAAATTATGCATTATCAAGTGTGATTTTGCTGAAAATCTGTCTTGAATCTTAAATGAAATCTGTCTTGAATCTTACCAAAATAATTAAATGAAATTTAAATTATTTTTTGAGAGTTGGTGCTTGCATAATTTAGGCTTGAAAGAAAAAAATACTCTATTTACTTTTTTTAAAAATTACTTGTAATTTTTCAGAGCAATTACTGTTTGTAACAATTTTGAAGACATGTTTGAAGAATCAATAAATGTAAAATTTAATGTCATTTTCAAGAGTTAATCTGACAATTATAAAAATGAAAAATAAAATAAAATTCTTTTAAGAAATGTTAATGTTTTAATTCTGTGACTGCAATCAATTAACAGTATCAATTCAATAAGCCTTTATCAATTTTCCCTTTTTTGTAGCAGTTTGATAAATTTTAAAATCAGAATAATTGAAAAAAACCTCATTGGGTGCAAATAAATATTTTATGACATCAAGCAAGTAAGAAAATATATAAAAATTTATATAATAATAAAAGAAATGTAAAATTATATAAAAAATAATTAAAGGGTGAATATAAAAAAAAATAATACAAATTTGTTTATTACAATATACAAACCTAGTCTATTGTATTTTTTCTTTAGTTATGTAAAAATTTGTATATGTCTAATAATAAAATAACTACCAAAATGAAACCTGACAGTTTATTTTTTTTATAAAAAAGATATATAAAATTTGCTTTTAGAAATTTTGTAAAGGAAGAAGCTCAAGTATAATGATCTCAAAACCTGCCAAAATAATGTTTCTGTAAGCAACAATCTCTCTTACCTTTGTTTTAAAGGTTTTTGAATATTTTGTCTGACCATTTGATCTGTTGTATGAACATTTTCTCTTCATGACAATTCGTTAGAACTGCGGAAATGAGCTACTGACACAACTACTGACACAAGCATGTAAATTCATAAATAAATTCATCTAATTTTGTTAAAATTACAAGTGTGTTACCTCGTTATCATCATCTCTCATTGTGTGGGTAAATGTTCATTTTAACTCTTAATCCCCATAACACTAAACCATAAAAACCGAATGTGCTTTTTTATTGGCATAGCAGTTCCTGCAGATTGTGATGTAGCTTTGAAAGATCTTCAAAAAAACTATAAAACTACAAGGACCTTGGAGTAGATTGAAAATTGCAGTTGTGGTTAGGGTTCTGGGTTTGATTGGGAAAGGTTCTGATGGAGTCATTGAAAAGCTGCATGGCTTCCTTAAAGAAATACAAAATATTGCTTTCACAAGCACAGCCCACACTCTACAGAGAGCTTTACCTATGTAAATTGTGTGTTTTCGGGAATTTAAATCCTGATAGGATTTCTGATCCTAGATCAGTAGTTGTAAAGAATCATCCTCAATCTCTAATTTCAAAACTATTCTTAATTCAGTCATAGGGGAAATTACTAAGGCCATCATCATGACGATGTAAGTCATACTGAAGAAAAGCTTGAATTTTATTAAAAATATGTATGATTTGCGTTTGATGTGAAAATAGAAAAATTGATTTGTTTAAAAAAAGTGAAAGAATTTTTGGGTTTTCCTTCTTAACCGGAGTATATGCAATTTAAAGCCCAAAATGTTGTCAAACATGTTTTTAAGTTTCATTATATATATATATATATATATATATATATATATATATATATATATATATATATATATATATATATATATATATATATAAACAAACTACTTGTGCATTCTTAATGCACAAATTTTTAAGCAAAATTTTAACTCGTGTGAAATCGAGGCTTGTCTCCCACGTGATCACGAAACCCGATTGTCACTAATTTTTCCTTTAAAAGTAAAAACAGAGAAAAGACAACGTATTGTACAAAGTTATCGCAGCAAAATTTTGTATTTATAGGAAAGTGGTGCTTTGTGCATAACTACTGTCACAAACTTCGTTGTAGCTTCGTTGTCTAGTTTTACTTTTATACTTTTTTTTGTGTACCTGAATAGTACTATCCTTAGTTTTTACACATAAAAATAATTCTTAACTACACACACCACGCCTTTTTTAACGATAACGAGCATAAAATTGAACAAGAAAACTTGTTTTTCTTTTTAATACCTACAATACTACTGGTTAAGTAAAAAAAAAAACATAAAACATAATACTACAGTACACGAACTAAGAAAAGTCATTTACCAGATCTTTCTATTTTGGTTATATTAAGCAATCACGCATAGCTAATTAAATTAATTATTTACCTTCATTGTATTATTGATTCAGCAGCAGAAGTAATTGAACCAAACAAAAAATTCCTACTAGTGCTTTTAAGTGATCCTTAAAAAACTATTGGGATGGCTGCAAAAAGAAGACTAAGCCCAGATGATCCAAGTTCTTTCAGTAGGCCGAGTGAATGTCGTGTTAATGCACTCGATCTTGTCTGGGACATTGATTTTATTAAAAGTATCATCAATGGAACCGCATATTTGGATGTTGAAAAAAGTTCTCCCTCAGTGGATAGATTGGTAAGTGAAAGAATTATTTTTTAAATGAAATGTAAATGCGATCTCTTTTTCAAGTTCTTCTGTATAACACCCAGAATTAATTAACAATAACATGCTGTTAAAAATGTTTGTGACGCGTTATTCTGTAGAGTTGAACCACAATACGGAATTACATTCGTTTATTTTCATTTTTCAAGTAATCAATAATGATAGCAGGTAGTTTGATTGTTAGTTTATTCATTTTCGAACCTTGAAAACTTTCATGAGTGAGAGCTTTTAAAACATTTTTAAAAAAAGTTGATCTGGCTGGAGTCTTGTATAATTTTTTTTACTTAATCTTTATTTTCTCCTTTTTTGTCCTTGCAGTGGATAGTGTGTAACTAAAAACATACGAGAACAAGGCCACTTAAGAGAAAAAGAAACCTGAAACCATAAATTAAAAAAGTTTACTTAGTGTCTGTGTACAGTACCCTTAAAATTCTGATGCTCGAAGTTAAAACTTATAAAAATAAATTACAGAGAAGAGATCATTTAAGAAAGTGACCCCCTAAAATATCACGTAAAAATGTGGCCCTAATTTTTGCGTACCATTATTTGTGCAAGAATTTATTACATACAGTGTAAAAAAAAAAAAAAAAAAAAAAAAAATTATCTACATCTCTCTCTCTCTCTCTCTCTGTTTCTCTTATGACGTGAGAATTGTAAAAAAAAAAAAAAAAAATGTGTGTCTAATAATTTGTTGCAATACCGAACATTTATTTTGAACAAAACAAATAAATATTGGATTGATTGATAATTTATTTACTTAAATAAAATAAAAAGATATGTATTCAATTTTTTTGTATGTAATAAACTAAAGCACATAACTTCGAACCAGGGAGAAAAAAAAAACCGACTTGAATTTTTTTTTTTAAATACAAAAATATCTTTTTTAATTACAAGCAATGTAGATAAAAAAATGTGGATGCGAACATAGACAATTTTATTTTAATTATCTTTATCATGAGGGAAAAAAGTAAAAACAATTCTTTGTGTATGATTGAGATAAAGATACTGTTGCACTTTGAACATGACAATTCCGCCGAATCAACTTTTGATTAAAAAACTAAAAAAATGATAGCACCATTTGACAGATGAATAATACAATTTAATGGGACGTAGAGTGGATCTGTTTCGTAGCTGTGTAGGTGTACTTGTAACATAATTAGTAGTCGATATACCGAATATTTTCCAATTTTTTTGCCTATATTTAAAAAAAACTAAAGATCACGAATTTACTATACTTGACTAGCTAGAGCACAAACAATAAAAATTGGAACAGTAGAATAGAACTTGTAGTTATTGCAATTTTCTTCTATTGTAGATTACTTAGCTAACTTTTTTTGCATCTTTCTAATTCTTACAAAAATAGTTATCAAAGAAAGAACTAAGTTTTAATTTCATCAGATTTTTGGAGGTGATCTGACTCTACTCTCGTTATTGGCCAATTCGGTAATTGACTTAATTTTTATTTTTTATTATTCAAAAATTTAATCAATGCGATATGCATATTTTATTTATTTATTTATTTTTTTACCAATATCCCTTCTCTATTTACGCAATTTTTAATTGTTTGGAGATTTTAAAACTTTTTTCTTACGTCTATCAGGTTTTAATTGTAAAAAGGCGATTTGACAATTGAATTTTAATTTTTTTTTGTTTTAGTTGAAAATTGATACTTACTTACTGTGAGAAAAAAAAAATTTTTTTTTTTTTTACACTATGTAACAAGTTCTAGAGAGATGTAACTGTAGCTGTTGAACTTTGAACAATAATGTCGTTGTTTGCATCACAACTTTGCCGTTTTTTTTCTACTTTAAAAGTTGATTCCGCCTCACTTGTTATCTTAATAATTAATTCATTATTAATAAACTCACTATTATTTGAAATATCGGTTATATCTGTAGTAACCTAGACCATGGCTTACCTAGTACAAAGTTGTTGCAGGTATAACAGGAAATTCGGTTCGGGGCTTAGTGGCGCGTGCGGATTGAGTGCGTTGAGAGGAAAATGGGCATCATTCCTATGCAAATGTATCAACACCTACTGCCTACTATAAGAGGCTACATTACTTGCTAGGGGACAGTAGTAATTCTGTAGACGACGTGAACGATTTTCAGCTTGGTGGTTACGTATTGAGTTTTACGTGTCCATTTATTTTTCGTCTGCCCGCTGGACGCTAGCTGGGAATCTTTGTTTTTGTTAGTAAACTTTGGTTTTGTTTCCCGAGTGCTAATATCCCTTAAATTTTTTCCAAAATCGTCATAATTCCCTGCAAATGTACATGCTGAACTTGAATTAACAATTAAATTATGAAGAAACCTTACCGTTTTGGAGTTATCGACAAGAAAAAAAATCGGACTTCTTGTTGGTCATTCATCCCCCCCAATACTGCCATCATGATTACTAATTCACTGCGTAGTACCTACGCAGGCGTAATCAGAAAATTTGGCCTATTTACTTCTTTTACAGACTTTCCTTGCAGAAAATTAATATGCACTACCGTAAAGAAATGTAATTTTTTTTTTTTCTATTCAAAACGGAAAAAAGGTTCTGTTGTATTATTTAATTTGTTTTTGTTATAAATGAAACTACACTTACCAAACTTACTCCTCCCATTTCCTGGGTTAAACACCGTTGTAGGTCTGAAAAACTGTTGACTTTCCTCAACAAGTGTCGAGTGGCCATGAAGGTCTTTCCTCGGTCCAGTGGCTTTTCACAACCTCGAAGGGTCTTGTATATGAATTAGTGGAGGGGTCTGCGAAGGATCCACACTGTGGGTGACTTGGCTTGTTGGTGACAGACTTGTGCTCTTTCTGATCTTGGATGCCAGTGACAAATTATGTCAGTAACCCTGAGTTTTTGTTTACCTGGCAATTGATTTGGAACTTGCTATCTTTCAATGACAGGTTATTCAGATGGGGCTGAGCGAATTTGCCCAACTGTCATCAAGTGTAACCTTTGTTTAGAAGAAACGGTTTTGCATGCCTTCTACCATTGTCCTTTCTGGGACTGTCAGTGAGTTGATGGCTCATGTGAAAGGGGCGGTCCTTGAGTTCCTTTTTTACGTCCTCTTGGTCATGAGGTGGTTTTCCTGTGATCCCTCCCCCTGGTTAAGTTAGATACTGTGTGTTTTCCGAGCTAATGTGAATAAGTGTTGTTCCTGGCCTGTTCCCAGCATTTTCTTCCATACCTCTCCAGTTTGTTTTTGTCCACCTTTTTTGCATCTCGGCTGGGTCAAGATTTGATTTTCCCATTTCGACATTTATTTTTACCCTTCCCTCTCTATTAGTGCGTATCCCTCTTGATTCTGTTTATTGGCAGAACACAGCAGTCACTCTTATTATTTTGAGGAGTGGACAGGTCCTACAAACATTTGTTTTGTTACAATCCTTTGTTAGTTTATTGGGTTCATCCCCTTCTGACGCATTTCATGTTTGATTAAATTTTTATATATTTATAGAGACATTATGGAGTGTTTTGTAAGTCCCTTGTGAATATGTGGCATTGTGGTATATGTAGGATTGAATGGTGAAGGATGAGTTCATGTGGTAAATGAAGAAATTGTGTTGGATGAATGGGTTGTGCCTGTGATTGACTAGGACAGTTAGTAATGACCAGCCTCACCCCACTTCCCCTTTTGGCTTTGTTCTGCAATTATTGTAATTTTACAATAATAAATAAAGCGATTTTGGTGGTGAACAGGAGACACGTGTGTTGGATTATTTGGTTTGCGCAACACTGTTTGATGAACAAAATAAATTAGGGAATTTTATTTAGCATGATAAAACTGACTACAATCTATTTTGACACTAAATACTCATGGACTGATTTGACTTGCAATTGAAACCAGAGTTCAATGGTTTGTCCACTGGCCTCTCTGTTGTTGAGTGGGTGGAGAAGGCAGAGCTCATTTGCTGACTATGCAGATTGAAAGAGCCAGCAACAGTCATTACTTTGAGGCTGTTGGGAGGAGGGGGTGTCTATGCTAGGAACCAGCAGCTTAAAGAGGAAGAAAAAATAACTTTACTGAGATAAAACAGGTTCTTTATACAGCCTTTGGAACAGACCTATTTGCAGCATATCAACAATTTATTGGGTGCTGACTACTCCCCGGTGAAATAGTTGACATTTACCTGGCTGATTTACGGAAACTTTCTGTACTGTTTGGAGGCATGGATGGCTGGATGCTAGGTATGTCTTTGTAGCAGTATTTCCAGCTTTTGTGAGCAACATCCAGAATGGATGAACTATCAAGCAAGAACTGACAACAGAGCAGTATCCCAACTAGAGACATATACCAAGTGATTCCTCTACCACTGGCAATCATGATAGTATAACTTTATCTTTAAGAAATCTGTGTTTAATTCCTCTTTGGTGTGGATTTGAAGAAAAGGTTTTAAAACTAACTGAAGTTTTTAAAAGGTTTTTGTCTATTTAAAAGATTCTTTGAATTTATGAAAAAAAAAAAATTCTACATTATTTGGTTGCTGAAGACATTAGATTTATAATACCCAGAAATTCATATCCAAGAACACATGGCACAGTGGATAAAGGCGTTGGTTAGATCCAGTGACAGGATCCAAAGAGTGAGTTCAATACCCAGTTAAGGCAGTGGAGAACTTTTAGAGGGAAATTAACAGGAGATAACTGATAACTGACATCCATCAAACATGGCATGTGGAACTAGAACAGTCTACCCCAGTGAGCGAAATAAAGGGTTCAGTTCGAAATTCCAACCACCTGAAGAAGGCCGGAGTGTACAACAGCCAAAACATTGTGATAAATATGGCGAATAATGTACATAATACTTCATCTCAGAAATATAGACACTCAAAAAAAATTCTACAGAACAAACAATAGTAGGAAGAATTAATTGAAGTTGTAGGTGTTTTGTGTTTGAAAAAATGTTGCTGAACAATTAAATCCTGAAGTCATTGCTAAGGAAAATTGCACTAAAATCAATTTACATTTATTTTTTTATTATTATAAAGTAAGTTAATTTTGCAAGTGGACAAAAAGAAAAAAAGGTTTATGGTGGATGCTGCTTTATACTCTAACAATATTTGGAATGACTAATTAATAGTTAAAAACTTCCATATGCTACACACTTGGTGTAAATGCAAACATATAACCATGAACAGTCTCTGTTCAGATTTAGTTCTGTGACTAAAAAGGCAGGCTGAATAGCAGGATATTTACACAATTGGAAAACCTAGTCACTAGACAGCAAAACAGAAGTTAGAATTAATTTGTCCTATTCTGTAAAAAGAAAATTCTAGATTTTTCAAGTCTTAGAATTTTCTATTATTTCTAGGAAATATTTTAATTTGCAAAATTAACTTTAATTATACTTTTTGTTCTTGTTGAAAAAATAGGAAGCATTAAATTGATTTTAAAAATATTTATCAGAAGAAAGTATCTATATTTAGTGAAGAGTTGATATGACTCATACTTTTCTTTGAATTCATCTCTGAAACCAATAAGATCAGCTGAGTAACTGAATATTGATTTTGTTAAATAGCAAAATGACCAAAAGAAACAAACTCACTTTCTGGGTAATCTTTACTATCAAAAGTTACTGTGTAATTCTTTTCTGATAAGCACACATACATTTAATTCAATTTTGTTACCTATTAATATAAGCACATCTACACCTTATACATACTCTGCATTTGTGTGCATATAATTTTGTTTAGTACTGTTATATCAGCATGCACCAGAAGATGTGACTTTGTTTTCATGAAATCTATTACTAGTGGGTTTGGAATAAAATGGATTGATCAAACTTAATTGTATTCACACTTCTCTGCTTAGTTTAACTTTCTATGTTGTAATAAAGAAAAGTATATCTCTGATTTTAGCTGAAGAGTGAAGGACAAAAATACATTTCAAAATTATTGTTTGTTTCTTTTTTTAACACCAGTCTTCCAGAAATATACTACAACTCTAGTCTATACTCCAAGTGTATGCTCAAAGCTTGACATAGTTTTATCTATGCTCAAAGCTTGACATAGTTTTATCTATGCTCAAAGCTTGACATGGTTTTATCTATGCTCAAAGCTTGACATGGTTTTATCTATGCTCAAAGCTTGACATGGTTTTATCTATGCTCAAAGCTTGACATGGTTTTATCTATGCTCAAAGCTTGACATGGTTTTATCTATGCTGATCTTTTTACTCATTCAAAAGCAACTTCATGTCGCCTCCTTCTCAGCCAGTCTGTACAAATGTCCAATTCCTGCGGATGATCAATGAGTTGATTGCTTTATCCCATGTTGTGTTTAGTTTTGATCATAAGGCTGGCAAAGATCGAATTGTCATCAGGAATTGTCATGTTGGGTTGGTCCAGGCAGAGTGAAGACACAAGAGAGAAAAAAAATAACTTGAATAAAAATAAATGCTTTTATATACATTGTTTTGTACAGTGCTTGGTTACTTTTGACATTAGAATTTATCAATTCTTTGTGCAGAAAATTATCGACCCAACCGACTTCATAAGTTGAATGTGACACTTCAGCTGGTTTGGTTACGTCTGGTGAAAGGCTTATGTCAGGTTCTCTTCAGACAGGCAGTCACATGATATCAGGCAACATGGTTATCTCTCATCTCAGCATCAGCAACAACTGTCTTGTCTGATTCGATTCATTGCATTTATTGACATTCACCTAAAACTGGAGTGGGGCATGACATGGTTTGGGGACTTGGTGTTTCCCCTATCTTTCAACAGGAGCCCTTTTGTTGTCTGGCTCTGGAAAAATTAATTACATCTCCAAAATTAGGGAGATCCCCTTTTCCTAGGGGTAGTGGTCACAGGTATCGATATGCCCTGATAACTTCCTCCTTCTCTTATTGGCATCTCACACCAACACTTACCAATGGCGTGGCTTAACTTATGGTCATTAATTAAAAAATTATCCTTTCAAATTTTGTTTATACAAAATTTTCTCATCCTGGTCTTGTCCAAAATCAAATATTTACCAGATGTTTTTGTCTCAGGCAGCTATCCTCCCAAACCCCACCAAGGTCGCTGCACTACAAATACCCTAGATTACACAAGGAGACCTTATTTTGTGTTTTTGCAACCAGGTCCAGCTAATAGTCTCATTAATCAATATTAGAGATCGCCACATGGCTTCTTTGTGACAATATCAATTTTCTGTAGTAAATGTCTGGTTTCAAAAAATTAGCTTTTCTTTTGAAAGAAAAGAAAAATCTTCATTCTTTCTCATGGTTTGTCCATCATTCTATTCATTAACCTTTGTCTCATTCCAGACTGTTTTTCATTTGACTTCTTTTCCATTTGCCAGTGCCAAATAGTGTCATACCATAATTGAACCAAATATCAAAGTCAGACTCTAAACTGAACTGAAATAACATGACTACTGCTATCAAAGTAAAGAGTCCCCATTCTATAGGGACTTTAACTTTATTTCAATGATGATTTTCAGAATTTCTGTTCAGTATATCACCGCAGTCAATAAGGATATTTTTCTTTTTTCTTTTTTGCTCCTACATAAATAACTGTATTAAAGATAGAAAATTTGTTTATTGGAAGGATTTATGGTTTTAATTAATGAAGAATAGGTTTTATGTTTATTTTTCTTTTTTAGTTCTTTTTATATTTGTATTTTTTCCTGCATTTGTCTTTTTTAACTCTTTATCATCTTCATTCTTTTTTTTTTTTTTTATAGTTGCTTTTTTTGTTATTTTTTTTTTTTTTTTACTTCCCTCTCTTACATTTATTTATAAAACTTCTCTTTTGTCTTCCTTCATCACTTTGTTTCTCCTCTCCCATTCTTTTGTTAAACTACTGTCCTGTTTTTCATTTCTTCTGTCCCCTCTCTCCCTAATCGTCATTTGTATTTTTCTTATTCTTTTGTTTCCTTTTTTAGCCATCTGTTCTCATTTGTCTTTTTTCTCCCTTCTTTTCACAAAATGTATCTGTTAGCTACCCAAATATAGTAGCATATTCTTCAACTAAGGTCAGTGATATTTTTCACTTCAGAACTGAAAGGCATTACTCTCAAGAAAGAAATGCTTAGAATTTTCCATAAATCCAAGAAAAACCTTGCTTACCTTTTAAAGTATTGTTTTCTTATTTTTATTCCTGTATTTTGAACAAAATAAATTCGCAACATTTTTTTTTTTTTTTTTTTTCAGATCTTGGATACAAGGAAGCTTGATATCCATCGTGTGTTCTGCAGAGAGTCTGGTAACAACTTGTTGTATGATGTTGATGAAACTGTTGACATTTTTGGCTCTAAGCTTGAGGTAAAATTACCTACTGATGAAAAACTTAAGTAAGTTCCTAATTTTACATAATTTTTTATTTGTGTACACATTTTATTCATTTTCATATCTATAATTTAAAATATCTATATAATGATCCACAAAAAAGTTCTGTCCGTTTTTAAAGGAAAAAGAAAACACTTCACAGTATGTGTAACTTATATTTAGTCTTCAAAGTAATCGCCATCAGCATCCACCACCTTCTGCCAATGTGTCTCCAGCTGTTCAATGGGGGGGTGACGGAAAGAAGTCTGTGAGGGCTTTGCGCAAGTCTGCTTCATTGATGAAGGATTTCCTACGAAGATGATTATCCAGGGAGTGGAAGAGGTGGTAATCAGATGGCGCAAGGTCAGAGGAATAAGGTGGATGGCACAAAGTCTCCCACCCAAGTTGCTGTATGGTATCCTTGACCACTTGCGCAATATGCAGCCTGGCATTGTCATGGAGGAAAAGCACACCTTTGCGATTCACCAGTGCTGGCTCCTTCTGGCGCAATGCCTGTTGCACACATTTCAATTGCTGCGAGTATAGGTCTCCAGTGACCGTTTGGCCCATTGGTAGCAGTTCATAATAAACCACTTGACAATCTGTCCACCAGACACAAAGCATAATCTTGCGTGGCTGCATAGGCGGTCTTGTGGTGTGAGGGACAGCATTCTGAGAAGACAACCAATGTCTGGAACGCTTGGGACTTTCATACAGAACCCACTTTTCATTACTGGTAAGCACTCGATTGAATAAGGATGTAGTACGGTGGCGAGAAAGCAGTGATATGCAGGCTGCCACTCGTTGTCCCTTGTGGACCTTCAACAGCGTTTGCAGAACCCACTTGCTCAGTTTGTACATCTTACCTAGGCAGTGCAGGTGAAGTCTAACTGTTTCATCGGAAATGTTGAACTGACCACACGTTAGACTACTGTCCTCTTCAATGGCCGCCTTCAGGACTCCGTCATTCAAGACCTGTGGTCGACTGCGAGACTCATCATGGAGAGACAAATCTCTCGACTTGAATTTTCAAAACCAATGCCTTGCAGTACGTTTATCCACAGCACTATCCCCAAACGCTTGACATATGCGGCGGCTTGATGCAGCTGCTGATAAGCCCACTTTGAAGTCGTAGAGCAAACAGCCCCGAACGAGATCTCTAGACACTTCCATCCTTCCTTCTCACAGCTGTCCGGCTTATAACTGATGGCTGGGCATGGTGCGCGTATTTTTTCCATCCTTCCTACTTCCAGCTGTCCGAATTTGAAAAAAATTGCTACACGCATTTCGTATATATTTCAACTTCATTCAATGACTGATCAAAAAACGGACAGAACTTTTTTGGTTACCTTGTATAACAAGGGAATTAAGTTCCTTAGGTTGTAACCTATTTATCTTGGCATACTAGTACAGCTACTATAACCTTGCTTTCCAGTAGATAGTTATAGATTCCTGAATTGCATAAGCAAATTTAAAGAGCAGTGCAAATATATGAAGTAGGTGTATGAATCCAAGATAATGTAATGGAGGAATAGAATTTGTTATATGTCCTAAGAAAAAGATTACTTTTTTATTGTAACACCTATCACATCAGTACATACGTTAAAAAATATTTCTTTACTACAAAACAGTCATTTATTTCCCCGATTTCTCTTACATTTTACCTACAACAAAATAGTCTGAATTTTACAGACACCATTTTTTAATACATTAAGCAAATAATAATTTTAAAATTTTGTTCTATTCTGTTGAATTTTATTATTATTTCTATATTATTTCTCATTAACACTAAAGGTATCTAGATTACACTGGAATTCTTTAGATGAATTATTATCTAGTTTCCTATTCAGACCAGTATACATATCTTGGTTGTTATAAAGATATTGGTACCTATAATAAAAATTGAAATTGGTACCATATATACTTGAGCATAGTGCAAATTTTTATGGTATACAAAAAATAAAGGTTGCACTATACACAGGTGATATTTTTTTTATTTATTTTTTTTGAAGAGGTTAAAAATCATGCATTTTTAGTGAGTGGTTGCACTATACATTGGTAAATATTTTCTGGAGGGATTAAAATTCATACCAAAAAATCCATGAGTTGCACTATACATGTAGTCAGCTTATACACAAGTATATACAGTTCTTAGAATAAAAATTGAAAATTTCCTGCTATAGTGAATATGATAACTAAGATGAGCAAGATATATTGGATTGGAACAAAAGTTTGTAACATTTTTTAAGTGGATTTCAAATATTTAGATAATTTGTACATAGATTTATTCAACCACACATGTGACATTTTTTCACTGTCCTTATGATTTCATCCTTCTAGAACTTGGCAGCTTTCTGCTTCAAGTAGCTTTTACAAGCATCCAGAGAATTGAATTTTGCATGAATCTAAATAAGCTTGAGATTCAAGTTCAGGTATGGTAGGACATTGCAGCCAAGTTGAACCAACTTTTGCCAGATCTGCAAAGTTAGGTGTGCTAGCATTATCTTGATGAAAGACAACACCTATCTGATTGGTCAATTCTAGATGCTGCTATAATTTTATTTTATTTTTTTTTACAATGATGTTCATCCTGTACAAAGCCTGGGAGTTTGTGGGAAGAAAATGCTGTAATGGAACTTACATCTCACCAATATGAAGGAAATGAGGGTGGTTCACTACAATATACATAACATGATGAGTATTTTAGTCATGCAGGTTAGAACTGGTCGAAATAAGGCATGTAGTTCACCCGCGCGCTTTCCATGGAAATAGTGATAGAGCAATGAGAGGTTTGCAATGTTTTGTCTGTGGGGAAAGGAGTTGTAGGAAAAAAAATTGAGTTTTGGAGGTGCATCTCATTTTCACTTAAACATAATACATTTAAACTTCACACTCTACACATGCATCATAGAGAAAGGTGCATTGAAATGTCACCTTTCAGAATATGTATATATGGTGTAAAATTCAATCATGTTTGAAATAAAATCACATGTTCAAATATCACCTACTGAAAAATGCTATAAGCTTTTATTTTATAGGATATAAAATCCTATATTTTACAACCAACAGGTGAAGCACAAACAAGTAAGAAATGCCCACACATAAGTAGGATCAGAATCACTAAAACAATCTTTTGTACAAATCAGTAAAAAAAATAAGATCCAAAATTAACTAAGTGGTTTCTGGGATTTGATTGGGCAGTATAGTCACATGCTGTGTTTCCAACTATGTCTGTGTTTGAACACCAAATGAACTGGTCACTGGGTGCTATCTTGCGTAAACCAAAAAACATTCCTTTGGAGCCAATCACATGATCAAGATTACTATATATACACTGATTTCAGCAGCAATAAAAACACACACAGCAAAAACCCAGCCTGCAGCTGGATATGGATCACCTGTTGATGACAATTGGTTGGATCTGTACACACCCAACCAAAATTCTCTCATTACCATGACAACACCTCAGTCAGCAATGACTGCATGCCATTTAAAGGAATATTCATAACTGGAAAAAATTAAGTCTGTATGTTCATTTCTTTTTAGAACCACTGTAATTAGATTTCATGTATTGGCACTCACACATATGCATTACTACCCATTTACAACCTGCCAAATGTGCAAATCTGGTTTTCACAATTAAATGCAATTTTTAACACAAAGAAAATCATATTGCAAAGCTGCAATATGCCTACATTGTCAAAAAAAACTCCCCGCAGATGTGGCAAGAGAAGTAGTTGATTTCCTTGACAAGATACCAGAAAAAAAATCTTATAGCACATTCAAAAATGCAATCATTAGGCTTGTCAGAAAATCAGATGAGCGAAGATTACACAATCTATTCAATAATTTGAATCTGCGATTTAATCTTTAGTTAGAGTATCAGAAATAGCAGACAAAATACATGACAACAACAAGGACGAAAGCATATATGCCATATCACATATTCCAACAACTGCAGCAACACCGGTTGACAGGTTAGAAGAGCTGTCTCAGATACATTAAAATATAGCCAACCGCACCATACAAGTACAGTGTTTGGTACAAAGGCAAAAATTCCAGTGTTCTCGTCCAGAGATCAAAAATCAATCCTACTCACCACACAGGAGTTACGACATGTCATCTATTTTACATTTGGGACAAAAATACCAGATATTGTTTTTACTCAATACCAGTGTGCAAATCAATGTATTATCAAAAACGTACATTATCCGCATACACACTACAGGTCGCAAATAGATCAAAATTCGAGACATACAGAAAGATATCACTAATGCTCAATTTGGGATTACGACAATCTTTTCTATGGATTTTCACACAAGCAGAAGTGAAAACACCAATTCTAGGAGCAGATTTTTGATCTCATTTTGACTTATCAGTGAATATGGTGACACACTCTCTCATTGACAGTAACACAAAGGCAAAGGGAATCACCTCACTCTACATGTCAACAGGAATTAGTTCTGAAATACCAACTGCTAATGAACTGCAGGAATTGATAAAAAAATTTCCTACTCTTACTATGCCTTTAAAACATCCAGATGAAATTTGTCACACAGCAAAACATTATTTCACAACAACTGGACCACCTAAACACACATCACCATGCAGATTGCATCCAGAGAAATATAAAATAGCAAAAGACAAATTTCAACATATGTTACAATTAGGCATCGTACATCTTTCAAGTAGCCCATACTCCTCTCCACTACACATGGTTCTAAAGCAAGACACAGGCATGGCAACCTTGTGGGGATTTCAGGAATCTTAAAGCAAAAACAGTTCCAGATAAATACCTAATCCCACATTTACATGATTTCACACAGGGAACCACAGTTTTCGCAAAACTGGATTTGGTTAAGGCATACTACCAAATTCCAGTAGCAGAAGATATAAAGAAAACTGTAATTACCACTCCTTTTGGAGTTCACAAGGATGCCATTTGGGTACATAATGCTGCCGAAACTTTTCAGAAACTTATTGAGAAAGTTTTGTGAGGATTAACTTTTGCTTATATTGATGACAT